TTCACAAATGCATCAGAACTGCACATACAGTGAATGGTTGGTACAGAAAGAGTACAACAAAACAATTATAATACAAATACAAGAAATACTTTTACCTCTTTCTTTGCCATTCATTTGACAAATAATACGTTTTTGTGTTACAAATCATTGGAAAATCTCAATCATAATAATGAAAGAGAGAAGACATTAGTTTTAATTCACAAATAGATGCTCTCCTCACGCAATACTTCTCTTTCATACGCTAAGACTTCTTGTTTTACCCAATTCTCTCTCTCTCTCTCTCTCTCTCTCTCTCTCTCGTTTGTGAGCCCCGGGAGTGATCATCATTTTGAATGTCTAACCATCGCTACTAGCAATTATTGTGTCGACTTTTACGTCAATGAGGTGTCGATTACAATACAATAGGCAACACATTGTTGTCAAATAAGTCTCTCTCTCTCTCTTTATTACACAACTATTATTAGCGGTATTTCCTTCTTATATAAAGACTCGAACTTAAAACTATTGAATGACAACACGAGTCGACACTTGAATACGATTTCTTTTTTAATATTTGATTGACTTCTCAACAGAATATAAAACTTATTTAGTTTTTCCCCAATTATTAAAATAAAACAAATATTTTATCGCATGTTATGTCAAATAAAAGTTAATTCATGTTATATATACCATAATAAAGCGGTTTGTTTGATAATAATATTTTATACCATTACACAATTATTATATAATACATAATATATAGACATTGTAATATCTAGCTCAGTTTTAGTAGGGTTGGGACAATAAAAACGTGATATTATTTTCAATTAGCATAAAATTCGGTTATTAAGTCGATGTATGAATTATTATCAAATATAACAAACAATTATAAGATGTTTTATGTAAAAAATGACTGACAGATCGATGGACTGTAAGACAGATATTTCGAAACTATAACAGTTGTGAATATTCGGCGAACGAATCCTTTCAATGGATTATTATATCTGTTGAATATGACTGTTGTATAGGAGAGCCACCCATGAAGTTAACCCACGGGTCGGAAGCTGAGCATAAATTTGAAGTTATTTTCTTTTTTACGTAATATATGACTACTGTAGCGATGGTTAGACATTCAAAATGATGATCACTCCCGGGGCTCACAAACGAGAGAGAAAAAAAGTTTTTTTATTCAAACAAAAGCCTAAACGCTGACCGACTTTATGTCAGTTTTTTTTGTTTAAAGTCAGAGCTCAGGCGAACGGGCCGTTTGAAACGGTTTGGCGTTTCTAATTGTGCCCAATATTGCTCGGAGGAAAGCCATAAACAAGTTGTAGTTTTTTGCCGCCGCTCTAATTGAACTCAAAAAAAGATTCATTTCTTTCTCTCTTTTTTATTATATTTTTTCTTTTATTTTCTCTATACTTTTTTTTGCCTATACTCTGAGCCCCTGAACCTCTCAATAATTAGTGCCCACATTTGCACAGTTTGTTTATGGGTCAGTGCCCTTCTCTCTCTCTCTCTCTCTCTCTCTCTCTCTCTTGGCAATGCTAAGTCTATGGCATAGGAATAACATGGGCAATGCTAAATCTATGGCATAGGAATAACATGGGCAATGCTAAGTCTATGGCATAGGAATTACATGGGTAATGCTAAGTCTATGGACAATGATAAGTCTATGGGTAATGCTAAGTCTATGGCAGTAATGTTATTTCAATGGGATAATGCTTTCTCTATGGAGATATACTAAATGAATCTGACATAATAAATTGAACTAATTCTTGTAAAAAACATTCAAAATTCTCAAAATAATAATAGTGAGAGTATTCTAACAATAGTATTGAAAAATTTAAAATCTCTGAAGAATCACCCGAATAGTGGTTAACGTATAGCATCGCTGTGTGATCCTTGTTTCTTTTCTTTTATTTTCTCTATACTTTTTTTGCCTATACTCTGAGCCCCTGAACCTCTCAATAATTAGTGCCCACATTTGCACAGTTTGTTTATGGGTCAGTGCCCTTCTCTCTCTCTCTCTCTCTCTCCCGACGCGAACCTTGAAAATCACAACGAAATCCTAAGCGATTGCCAAACATTACGCAAATATTACTCTTTTATTTAAATCAATATCTAACCACTGATAACATTATACAACGTGTGATACATATACAAGATTGCAATGGATTGCATACAATGTATATAAATTTATATAACAATTTATTGTTGGCATTCATAGCCTCACTAAACCGGACTTCAATGAGGATGCGTTGAAATATTTCAATCATTTCCGACACACACCGACTGCCCTATCATTTCTTATAAACTTTTTTTTGCTCTGTTTGTTAAGTCTAGTAAAAAGCCCAGACCTCAGACAACTACAACAGGGGGTGCCATAAATATTCAATTGCTTTCAGGGACAAACAAAAATCATTATTATATCAAGGTATTTTCTATGCTTAAATACAATTAGGGTCGGTTTGACATTTTATTAAACGCATTAAAGTTGTTATTATTATATTTAAGTTATTCAATAAGCTAATGATTACTATGGCTTTTGAATTCATTGCCTACACATCTCTGATATAAAGGAGAATATAATTAATTTATGATAATTTAGTTTATTTTTTTTATCTTAATATATATCGGAAATTGTTCTCCAGTTTAATATATTTTAGTTTAATAACAATACAAAGTAATTGACTGTCTTTATCCGTTCCCACAAATTCCACTACTTTTAAAAATAGATTAATAAATGATAAATCAAGTTAAAGAGTACTTCTTATATAATAGATATAATAGCGTAATATTAATAAATAAAAGGATATATTGGTTAACAAAAGGCAATTAAAACTAATTAATGCCACAAAAGTGCTATTGAGGTAAGAGATAAGTACTGTATTGTACTAATAAAGAGATGTACTCTCGAATGAACACTTAAAACACGACTTTTGTGTGTAATAATGTATTAAACAATACTTCGACCCCCAATATAAAATGTATATACAAAATGATCATGGTAAAGTATAATGACATAATGCCATAATTGTTTAATAGTATATAATTTGCTTATATATGACGACAAAACATTTGGAAGTTTTTTGCGTCACAGAAAAAAAAGTTGTGAAAAGTTTTTAGATCTTTTTTATATCAAACAAAACTCGGGGGTATTCTCAAGGCTTATAATAAAACCGATTCCATCCCCTCTATTATAATCATCTGCCTCTCTGGTGCTCTCTCTCTCTCTCTCTCTCTATAAATACCAATAAACACCGGCATGACTTTAGTTTAAGTACACTTCAAAAATCCCCGGCAAAAGAGTGGGGGTCGTGTAATTCCTATGATTTGATGTTATATTAAATTATAACAAATATATTAAATATTACATTTATGAATTATTGTCTGGCTCCTATTTTTGTCTACTCTCTCTCTCTCTCTCTCTCTCTCTCTCTCTCTCCTTCCCTCTCATTCTCTCGCCTTTAATAGAATTATGAGAGACTGATGTGTACTGAAAGCAAACGGTGGTTCCCCTACTGTGCTATAAATACACAGTAAATAATATGATTTGAGTAGAGAGTGTGGTAATAATGGGCAATCCCTAACATACTGTGGCATCACATTCAATGAATTACTTTGTATAACAACACTGTATTTTATAACCAAAAATATGACAATATATTCTCTTTAAATGTAATTTATAATGAAATAGAAATACAAATATTGCTATTTTTAGATAAATAGGATTTTTTGAGGATATGATTGAATAAGTTATTTGTTTAATGATATAAAACATAATAATCTAAGAAACAATTTCAGGACTTTTTTTGGTCTATCCGTTGCAGACATCCGTTGTATCTATTTTTTGACTTCGATTTAAATCTTTAAATTGAAACCCGAAATAACTTTCAATTTTTGTAAATTTACAGAAAGTTTATGTTTGAAATATACAGCAGTCGAGCGAATAGAATACATAAGCAAATGGTTAGCATTTATTTGAGTGAAAATAATTAAGCATTTGATAGAAATAGTGAAGAAAATAAGCAAAATTGATGGCTTTGTGTTCTCAGAAAATCGTTTAAGTTTTTTAGTGTATGTATTATTAGTGTATCGAATAGTGAGCGCTGAGAGCACTGAAGAGCACAGTATCTCTACTGAGTAGGCGAACACTATTTGGGCCAATACTTCATCCTATTGTATAGACTATGAATTACTTGGTCTCCGATTGTCTCTGCGCTATGTCTTCACTAAACAATTGCAGTCAACCAAAGCATAAATAAAAATGCATTTCTACAGTATATGCGATATGTTTATGATATTTAATGTATGGCTTATGACATCCGCCAACGCACTGCTGGTATTTTTGGGGACAAAAAATAGTTTTCATTGTTAGCATTACATCATTGTGTGTATAAATATTACACCCTTTGCTTCATAATACTAATGACAAACTCGTCTAAAGTATTGTAAATGTTAAGTACAGTATGAATACTGTACGGAATAATTTACAAATAATCTCTCTCTCTCTCTCTCATCCTCTTTCTCTTCATCCTCTCTCTCCCTTCTCTCCTCAAATTGTGGGCAAATTTTCTATAAGAATAATAAAGAGAGGATGAGAGGTAGAAGAGGTAGAAACGATGAGAACAACTCATAAGAGAGTTATTTTGTCCGAAAGAGCGAAAGAATTTCTTACGGAAGTTATATTTCCGATTAGATTGACGTTTCGCTGGCAATGCTTACAGCGCTAAACGTGCATCAAATGATGCTTACAGTGGGAGTCCTATCATAACACTAATTCAATACTGTAGTGAACAGTGGCTGTGAATTACACACACATAGCAGTGGTGTAGCACCGGCTCACTGGCTATACCTCTAGTTTGCAAACAAAACGTAACGTAACTTTCATTTGCTTCGGCGTAACATTAGGTTTTGCCAGTAATCCCTCCCCAAAGCCCCCACTCTTTTGCCGGGGATTTTTGAAGTGTACTTAAACTAAAGTCATGCCGGTGTTTATTGGTATTTATTGAGAGAGACCACTATCAGACAATTCAGTTGCCAATCGCACATACCATACACTTTACGATCATATTCTGTGTTCAGTTATGTCATAGTATTAAAGTAAAAACTTTTTTACACTACTTATCGACCCATTGATGAACCAAAACATTGTTTTATGATAATTATTAACATGTGTTACGCGTCGAGCTTTATTAGAGTGCAGGCCTTCATATACGGCACTCTTGTTAAGTGTCACCAACTCTTCACTCCATTCACTACTAGTCATATCTCTTGTCCTTTCGATCAAATGTCAAGTATGTCATCGATATATCAATAAATCAGTCATTTCTTCACTAGTTTTTTATTATTACATTAAATGAAATTATATTCAATACTCTATATATTCTTGTTATCTTTCGTAATTCAAAATTCTGTGTTTAAAACAAGTTTTTAAACTTATAAAAAGTTTTATGTCATAACAACTATGAAATCAATTGTTTTAATATATGTTTTGTTTTGCGCTCTTTTCTCAACAAAATCTATAGAACTCTTAAGACAACAACATTTGGTATTTTTGTTGACACTAGTAGTTGTGTTCCTGTCTTCAGCCAACATCTCAATGGCATCTCCAATAAGGGGTGAATCATCTCAAAAGCAATCACCAAATGCTTCTCCAGCGTCATCCTCATCGTCCCGAAGACTATCAATGAGTTCATCTCCCAAATGGATAAATCCGTGTCGACTGCCGACACATCCTATAAATCCTGACAAAGACTTTGCCGGTGCGCCACCGGTTCCCGTCAAAGAGCTCTTACGTAATGTCATGAGTAGAGCAAAAGTGGCGAGAAATCACGGCCAGCAAGTGAAGGAGATTTTCGTAAGTCTACTAATTATTCAATATATTTTCCACTCTCTTTCCTCTCTATATAACAAAACTATTAAAAATGTATATTTAAATATTTGTTTACGTCTTTGGGACTAATTGTGTTTAACAATCAGTCCTTTTAAAGCATCATATTTTGTTGCTTACGATAGACAAAGTTCCCCACAAATTGATAGTTTTGTATTGACGTTAGACTTACTATATTGTAAACGATTCCCTCATCTCTCTCTCTCTCTCTCTCTCTCTCTCTCTCTCTCTCT